CAACCAAAAGCCTCTGCCATGCAGGCTGAACAGGTACAGTGGCCCCTCCCACCATTCACTATAATAGGGAGCACAGCTAGATTCAAGAGACTCATGAGCAGCCACTTCTCCCTGAGTGGGAGCATGCTCCTCATGGAGAACTCTGCAGATAGAGTGGCCTACTTCCCTCACCTTAGGATCTAGTGGTGGACCAGAGGTGCTGGAGATTCCCCCTACTCGCCAGCATCACATGGAGATGCATGCCAGCAGGTCAGACACAAACTGTGGAAGTAGCTCCAGAGCTGCTCTTAGGTGGAGAGGGAATGCACGTGGACTGATCAGAGGGGAAAGTGCTGTGGAGTTCCAGGAAGTCAATAAGAAGGGTGAATGCCTCACCCTGCAGAGAAACTGGGCTAGTGGTACTGACAAAAAAAAGAGACATAGATCTATGGATCAAAACAGAGAACCCAGATATGAAACCATCCTCATATTGCCATCTGATCTTTGACAAAGCAGAAAAAACATACACTGGGGTAAAAAATCCCTATTCAATAAATGGTGCTGGCAAAATTGGATAGCCACATGTAGAAGACTGAAACAGGATCCACACCTCTCACCACTCACAACAATTAATTCATGATGGATAACAGACTTAAACCTAAGGCTATAAGAATGAAACTGTAAGAATTCTAGAAAGTGTTGGAAAAACTCTTGTAGATATCGGCCTAGGGAAATAATTTATGGAGAAGACCCCAAAAGCAATCACAGCAACAACAAAAATAAATAAATGGGACCTAATCGAATTAAAAGTTTCTGCACAGTGAAGGATACAATCAATATAGCAAATAGACAACCTACAGAATGGGAGAAAATATGTGCATGCTATACATCTGATAAAGTGCTAATAATGAGAATCTACAAAGAACTCAGGCAAATCAGCAAGGAAAAAAACAACCCCATTAATAAGTGGGCAAAAGACATGAACAGAAGCTTTTCAAAAGAAGATAGACCAATGGCCAATCAACATATGAAAAAATGCTGAACATCTCTAATCATCAGGGAAATACAAATCAAAATCACAATGAGATATTGCCTGGCTTTTATCAAAAATTCCTAAAACAACAGATGCTGGCGAAGATGTGGAGAGAAAGAAACATTTATACACCATTGGTGGGAGTGCAAACTAGTACAACCTCTACAGAAAGTAGTATGGAGATAATTCAAAGAACTAAAAGTACACCTACCATTTGATCCAGCAACTCTAGTACTAGGTATATACCCAAAGGGAAAAAAGACATTTTATAAAACAACAACAACAAAAAAAAACACATTTGCGCTCGAATATTTACAGCAGTACAATTCACAATTGCAAAGATGTGGAAACAACCCAAGTGCCCATCAATACACAAGTGGGTTAAAAAAAATGTGATATATGTATACCATGGAATACTCCTCAGCCAGAATAAGGCGATCTAGTATCTTTTGTAAAACATGGATGAAACTGGAGACCATTCTTCTAAGTGAAGTACCACAAGAATGGAAAAACAAACACCATATGTACTCAATACTAAATTGGAACTAATCAATCAACACTTATGTGTATATATGGAAGTAAAACTAAACGGAAATCAAGTAGGTGGGAGGGGGAAGAAGGGGATGGATAAATTCACACCTGACAGGTACAATGCACACTACCTGGGTGAAGGGCACATTTACAACTTTGACTCAAACTGTACATGTGTACATAATTTTCTGAAATAAGGAAAAAAAAAGAGAGAGAGATCACCAAAGTGGCAGAAAGTAACCAAAGTGACTACAGCAAGATCTTAAAATCTAGTAAAAACTAGTAAGTTCTGCAGTAGTCAACAGTTCCTATCCATCAAAAATGAAAACTAGTCTATAATTAAGTAAAGGAAGATAATAGCAAAGCAAAAATAATCACCTACCCATTAACAGCTAACTAAAGGCAGTTCACTAACTCAGCACTCATTAGAAATATGCATAAGGCAAAGAGAAGGCAAATGAGTACCCTTATAGAGGAACAAAAACCAGGCTTTTCTGACAACACAACCTCATCAAAAATGGTGCAACTCTAATAAGTAAATGTTGTTTCTTTTTACAAGTACTAATAAATATTTTATTGAAAAATCAGCATATAGGCTAGGGCGGTGGCTCACGCCTGTAATCCTAGCACTCTGGGAGGCCGAGGCGAGTGGATCATTTGAGCTCAGGAGTTTGAGACCAGCCTGAGCAAGAGCGAGATCCCGTCTCTACCAAAAATAGAAAAAACTAGCTGGGCATGGTGGTGCATGCCTGTAGTCCCAGACACTCTAGAAGCTAAGGCGGAAGGATCGCTTGAGCCCAGCAGTTTGAGGGTGCTATGAGCTAGGCTGACGTCACGGTACTCTAGCCAGGGCAACAGAGTGAGAGACTGTCTCAAAAAAAAAAAAAAGACAAAGAAAAATCAGCATATAATACTATTGAAGGAGCATGGAAGCATAAAAGTAAAATATTTAGTTTTGGCTCTTTACTAGCTTTGTGAACTCTGCCAAATCACTTCTCTCCTAACCTAATTTTATTCAAATGCTCAATGGGATAATAATAACATATATGCCCAATCTTTAAAAAAAAAATTGAATAAAATAATATATGATAAAGTACCTTTAAAACTGAAACCATCCTTTATAAAATTAATAAAGGGTCACAAGATGGGAACTGTGGAAGGGGAAATATACATATAACCAGACATTGTTCACTAGCTTGCTTTCCTATGATTGCTTACTATGCAGGAGTCATATAGCTGCTGGTCATAAAGATTCTTAGCTTTCTTCATTGCTCCCATAGATAACATCACCCTTGTGAAACCTAATGCTAGTTTTTGAGATATCTTCTAAGCCCTGCATTTCTATGGCACAGCTGACCCACCCAGACCAGTGGGTCAATCAGTCAATACCAAGGAATTGATTCAAGTGGTCTTGTGACTCCCAACCAAGAACTCACTCAGCAAAGAAGACAATTTCTATACCCATCTGGTTCCACCCTGAACTCGGCCAATTAGCAGATCCAATTGCCTAGGCTTTTGCCTGCCAAACTATCTTCAAAAAGCCCTTTCTCTAATATTCTCTGGGAGATGGACTTGAGAACTTCTTCCTTTCTCCTTGCTTGGTGCCTGCAATATTAAACTCTTTCTCTGCTGTATCCCCTACTGTTTCAGTGTAATGGCTTCCTTGAGCAGCACACAATGAACCTCATATGGATGTAATGAAACCACAAAAAACAACTACAAAAATCTCACATTTACAAACACTAATTGGAAAGAAATCAGAAACTAACTGTACCTATCATCGCACAGGAACCAAGGGTGGGAACTATAAAACCCCCTGAAAGCAAGAGCCAAGGTCTTTACATTGCCCATATCACCTATTTAATTGCAAACTTATGAAAAAATACTTTTTGAGGACATGATTAAAATTCTGAATGGCGACTTCATTAGTGAAAGATTTTACATTTAGAATATAAGCTTAAAGCATCTGTCACACTAGGCAATCCATGATGATTGCCAAAAAAATAACTCATGTGGCAGCATATCTAAAGAAAAAAATTGTAAGTCAAGTCCGCAAAGCTATACATTTCTCCTTGTCCTGGACTACTACATAACACTAGGATTAATAATTGGTGCAACGGATAAAAATATTTCAAAAAAATTCCCAATTCAATAACCAATCTCTGAAATTAAAATTGAATAAACATCTTGAATTTGGATAATTTTATGCATATCTTCTGGAATTTACTTTCTTTTTTGTTTTTGAGACAAGGTCTTGCTCTGTCGCCCAGACTGGAGTGTAATGGCAAAATCATGGCTCCCCACAGCCTCAAATTCCTAGGCTCAAGTGGTCCTCCCATGTAGGATCACTTGGGAGGGTAAGTAAATAAATATTTTAAAAATAAATTTTTTATTATCAAAATAAATAATGCTATTTATATTGAATTTAAATTAGCAAAATAATGTTATTTGTATAAACTATAAAATAAAAAAATTTCAAAGGGAAAATATAGATAATGCTATCAAAGACATTTTCAATCAGTAAAAAAATAAAATAATATCCATGTGTTCAGATTTTATAACTATTTGAATACCAAGGGTTATTTATCTCTTTATCCATAAAAAAAGATTATTTGAAACACAAGGCAAAAAATAATTAGCAAAGGATAAAACCATTAGATACTACAAAATGTGGTAAATACAATTATTTTATGTTATTATTAAAATGTAGTGACACATCAATCTACAGTATATGGAACAAACCAGTTGAAAATGCTAGGTTCTTATATGTCCCTCTTGCTTTCTCTGGTAACTCCTGTTCTACTGTGGTACTCTTTATTTATAGCATAGTTGCTAACCAGTTAAAAGACAGTTCCAGGTCAGGCATGGTGGCTCACATCTATAATTCCAGCACTTTTGGAGGCTGAGGCAGGAGGGTCACTTGAGCCTAGGAGTTTTTGACCAGCCTGGGCAACATAGCAAGACCCTGTTTCTAAAAAGAAAAAAAAAAAAAAAAGCTGGGCATGGTGGCAGCCGCCTGTAGTCCCAGCTACTTGGGAGGATCAGAGTTCAAGGCTGCAGTAATATATGATTGCGCCACTACACTCCAGTCGGGGCAACAGAGCAAGACCCTGTCTCAAAAGCAAAAAAAGAAAAAGAAAATTAGTTCCACAAAATATGACACAAGATTTAAGATATTTATTCAACAAACTTAAGAGTTAGTGTCAACTAGTTACTAGGCACTATGCAAGCCTAACAAACACATGAATATTACATTCCACTAATCACTAATTCTTAAAATATCAGAAAAGGATAGCAAACATTCAATGCAAACAAAATATATTTTGAGATTTAATGAAAAAACACATTTACTGTGAAATAAAACAGTAAATGGTATTAATATATTTAAAGAAACAAAAACAAAATTATAGAAAAATGACTCAGGAAGAAAACCAACTTTTTGAATATAATTACAGACCGAATTTTCTTCCTCCTCTTCCAATTCTCGCTGCTGTTCTTCATGTCTTTTAGCTTTGATCTCCATAGCTTCTGTAATCAGGTCTCTTAATATTGATACAGGTTTTGCATTCTTGATAAAAGGATGCTGGAAAAGTAAAATTCAATGGTATAAATTCAAAAGATTTTTCAGGATTATAGCTAATAAATATTAAAACAACATGTTTAAACTATGATTAAAACATCATGATTTAAACATCATGATTAAAACTATGATTAAAACATCATAGGCTTCAATGATTGTTTTTTCATCTAGAATTAAATGTATTGGTTAAGGAAAGAGAATATTTAAGCTGCTTTAGAAATAAAGATTTTGCTTTTGGATTTACTTGTGTTTTAAAAAATTTGAAGCACACACACAAAAGTGCAACCCTGTTAATAAAACTACATTATCCTTGAAGATGTAATTGTCCAAAGGAAGTGTACATTAGATAGTAAAAAAGATAATAAATTTTAAGAAACAGGTTGGTGATTATATTACATATAAAAATAAACATGTTGGTATTGATTTACAGAATTTAATTAATCTTAATAAACTGACAGCCAAAATCAGTGGTCAAAAGGAAGACAATTATACTGTTACTCCTTTTACATGTTTTCTATTTTATTGTGTCATGAATAATTTAATCTTTTCCAATGAAGACAGAAAAATATTTTTCAGTAAATACTGTATTTCTATACTATATATAAAATAACTTGTTGCTTCTTTTTTAATATCACTATGATCTAGCTAAAATAGCTGAGTTCTCTACAATTCTGATAAGCAGAAGGGAAATTATCAGAATGGATCTGGGTTTTTAATTGCTTTATTATTGAGAAAGAGGGGCACGAGAGAAAGTAGAGGGAGAGGTTATAATTTGGGAGAGATAACCTTATCTGGGGGAAGCAATTCAGGTTCAAAATGCAATTTTCATAATTTATATCAGTAGATAATGTCAAGTAAAAGCCACCGGAATTACTTCAATAATCATAAATAGAACACAAAAATATACTAAAGACAAAAAACATTTAGTGTTAAGGAAGAAATTATAGACATTGGGAAGAGGCTTTAAAATAGTAAATATACCATTTGGAAAAACTATGAGTAAGATTTTTTGCCAAATACGGAAATATTAAGACCGATTGTAAAGAACCAATAAATTCTTTTGTAATAGCTATAGATTAATCACCATATCTGTGGTGAGACTAACTGACATATCTGTAATAGAGACTAATTAACCTATCTGTAGTGGAAACTCCTGATCCTATACCAAAACAGAGTTGTGACTGGACCTACAGCTGCCCAGTTATTAATAGAGCCTACATTTCTCAACTTCCCTTTAAGCTGGTTGTGACTATGTGAGGAAGTTCTCATCAATGGAACCTGAGTGAAACTGTTGTGTTCTACTTTCTAGTCTGGGCTGTACAACATTGAGTAACTATTCTACAATCTCCTCACTTGGTGCTAAGTTGGAAAACAGAGGTACTTGCAATGCAACTTCAAACAATTATAAAGACAGAGACAGTTCCCTAGAGGACACTAGAGTAACAAGAAGGAAGGAATCCCTGTCCTTCTCTAAATTTTTTGTTCTTTGAGAAATAAAAGACAAACATGTATTTTTAAAAAGTTAATATGGACACAGAAGTTATATTCATGATGGTTTAGTGCACAGCTTATATGATTAAGAGATATAAAAGTAGAAGGGGTAAGATAATCACAGATGCCTCATACAAAAGAAACAGGTCATTTTAGGAAGGAGAAACAGTATAAACAATTATGAACAAAGACACAAAAATACGAGATGTGTGCTAGAACACAGTAAAAACATCTGCCTAGCCAAAGTAGAAACACCATTTAGAGAAATGGTGTCTATGACTTTCAATACAGACAACAGTAAGGCAGGAAGGATAAATGCTTAGGGTGAGAAGCCTCAATTGTGTTTGAGAGCCATTTTAAATTGCATAAATGTAAGGAAATAATGTAAGGAAAAGAATGTAAGGAATAATGTAAGAATAATGTAAGGAAATAGTGTATTTCCTAAGAGAATAATGTAAGGAAAAGAATGTCTTTGATAGAATAATCTTGAGCAGAGTTTACAAATGAAATAGAGTGGGGAAAACTGTAATAATATAGGTATGAATTATTAAGAACAAGAATTCAAAAAAGTTGCCAAAAATAGAGAGGAAACAGTTAAATCTGATGGAAGAATAAGAAGGATTTAGTGACTGATTTTACATTAACAAAAATGCAAGAAAACCAACACTGTAAAAACTTGGAACCAGTAGAATTATATTTCTTTATAAAGAAATTTCAAACTGTATTATACTTTGTCTTCTGAGGGAAAACTATAAGCCACCCCTCCAAGATACAATTATTTTTAGGAAATGCCAAAGTACATACCTGATTCATGTAGTCCACTGCAACCTTGCCTTTATGCAATCATTGTGAATTGACTATAATGTTATGCTACCATTAGTCTATAGAGCTTAATGCTCTTAATCTCCAAAACTTGGTATGTCTAATATCATTTGTACTCCTGCTTTCTCTATGTAACTACTATAGACATGATTTTGACCAACAAAGAGGAACTGACTAATAAAGTTAAAAGGGTACTTGAAGTACAAGACCATATTATTTGAGCACTCTTGATAGGAAGAAGAAAAGTTTTATCAGACATATTTGCCAGATTTTTATTAGTAAGTACAGATGGTCATGACTTATGATGGTGTTATATCATGATAAACCAATATAAGTTTAAAAAATGTAAGTTGAAAATGCATTAAAATACACCTATCCTATCGAACGTCAAAGCTTAGCCTATCGTACTTTAAACATGCTCAGAACATTTTCATTAGTCTAGACACAGATGGGTGTTTTATAGAAGACATGATAGGATGCAAAAACACACAATACAATATCCAAAAAATGCTGGCAAACAGTATACTGTAGAGGATGGTTTATTTACCCTCGCGATCACAGGGCTGACTGGGAGCTATGGCTCACTGCCACTGCCCAGCATCACAAGAGTATCATACCGCATATACTAGCCTGAGAAAAGATCAAAATTTAAACTTCGAAGGATAGTTTCTACTGAATGCATATCACTTTTGCACCATTGTAAAAAATACTAAGTTGAACAATTATAAATCAAGGACTACCTGTATATTTTTAAAGGCTTTTTTTAAAAAATAGGTGGTAAAAATTAAAACTGCAAACAACATAAAGAATAATGCAGACAAAACAAGATGGCAAAAGTAAAACATGACAGTTATGATAAAAATGATATTCACATATAATTATATGTCAGTGTAAATAAAGGATTAAATTTCCACTTATTAAATATAATTTTAGTTAAGTACTAAAAGACGAAGGTTCACTTAGTTACTAAGATACATTCTAACTACATGCCTTCTACATGAGATATATAAAATAAACTGAACTTATGTTTCTATATAAGGCATACTTAAAAGAATGGGTTAAAAATTAAAGACAGGCAATGAAATATTTAAACATAAAAAGATATGAAAAACATGATCAAAAAAAGTGAAAGGATAAAGCAGTAAATGAGTCATTTAATATTGATAAAGGATATAATATAAAAATACATAGTTATAATCTTGATATTTTAATATAGCACTGTATGTAATGAAAACTATAGAGACATAAGAAGAGGTCAATATAAATAAGACATGGGAGATTTTAATATTCCTGTTTTAGCCACTGAGAAATAATATAGGCAAAAGATAAATGAAGGTAAGTCATCTGAATAACATCACTGACTTAACAGAAATATCAACCTTCATCCCCAATAAACAGAAACCACATCCTTTTGTTGAATGCTTTAAAAAGGATCTGATTCCAGCATGAGAATAGAAAGAACAACGAAAGAGAATGAAATGTCCAAAAACGGAATATAATATATACAAAGGAAACTGGCATATTATGAAGATAGCATTTTCAATTAGTGAGCAAAAAAAAAAAAAACCAAACTGGTGCTGAGATAACTGCCTGCCTTTGGGGATGTTGGGAAGTTAACCTAGATCCTTACCACAGAAACACCAAAATAAATTCCAGATGGATTAAGGTATTAAATGTTTAAAAAAATGAAAATAGGAAAGAATTAGAGGGTAATATAGGAGAATATTTATATATTCAATCCAATGTAATAAAATGAAAGAAAAAAAAGGACAATTTGAATACATACAACTTAAAAATGTATGAATGGCAAAAAATACAAACTAAAAAATACATTTATAGCATTTATGTCAGACAAGATGCTGACTATATGAAAGGTTTTTTTAATTAAAAACTATTGGAGTTTTAGAACACTGTTGGTGTGGAGTCAAAGGCAGCCTAGCAGAGGGTCAGTATTCCAACAAGAAATAGGTGAACACACCAAATTCTAAAAGGCAATAAAGTTTCACTGTTTCTAAATGTATCTAAAGGAAAATCAAACTAAAAAAGGGTGAGGATTCTTAACCCACTTAAACTAATAAAAAGAAATTACCCCAATAAACTGATCACATTATTGACCATGTATTTTAAAAATGAAGACTGCTTGAAAAGTTTCTGCTTTTAAAATTTGAAATATTTCCTCTTAAATTTTGTTCATGTTCTGAATTATCAATTTCTGAACTGATAGAGTTCAAATTAATGATTTATACAAAAAAGCTTCAGAGAATATGAGAATTTAAAGTGAACTAAGAAAGGATTTCTGCTTCTGGACAACCCTATTTTCCCCTATACCTCCCCGTTAAAGTATAGCTAAAACCCTGGACATTATATATAAAACAAGCATTAAAAGATTCTGAAAGGTGGAAAGAAGGTGACAGACAGAGGTGGTGGAACCAGAGGAAAGACATAACTGTGAGTTCCACGGGTTTTCCTTTTACCTGATTTATTTCAAACTGGGCATTAGAGAACACCTGCTATAACACAAGATTTAAGTAAGATCCAGAGTCTCATGACATAATACCCAAAATGTCCAGGTTTCAACTGAAAAATCACCCTTCATATCAAGAACCAGGAAAATCTCAACTTAAATGGGAAAAGACGATGAACAGATGGTAACAACAGGATGACAGGAATGCCAGAATTATCTGACAAGGATTTTAAAGCAGCCATCATAAAAAAATGCTGCAATGAGCAGTTACAAATGTTCGTAAACAAATGAAAAATTAGAATTTCTCAGTAAAGAAATAGAAGACATAAAAAAGAAACAAATAAAAATTTTAAAACTGAAACACACAACCAAAATAAAAACTTGATGGACAGACTCAACAGCAAAATGGGAAAGAATAAGTGAATTGGAAGATAAAAAATAAAAAATATACAATATGGGACCTGTGGGACTAAAACAAAAGATCTAATATTTGTGTAACTAGAGTCCAAGAAAAAGAGAAAGAAGGTGAGGCTAAAAAAGATAAGCCCAAATAAATCCATACCAAGACATATCACAATTAAACTTGTGAAAACTAAAGAGAAAGAAAAAAATCTTGAAAAGTGCAGTGGCAAAACAATTCAAATAACAGATTTGAATTGTGGTATGACATTTTTCAAGTGCTGCAAGAAAAATAACTGTCAACGCAAACAATGAAAATATCCTTCATGAATGAAAGAGAAATCAAGACATTCTCAGATGAAGGGAAAACTAAGAGAATTTGTTATCATATACCTACCCTAAAAGAATGGCTAAAGGAATTATCTAAACAGAAAGGAAATAATACAAGAAAGAACTTTGTAACACTGGGGAAAAAAAACAACAAAGAGCAAAAATACAGTAAATACGGTAGATGTCCCTTCTCTTGATTTTCCTCAATTATGTTTTAAGGCTAAAGTAAATATTATAATACTGATGTGGTTCTCAAGGTGTATTGAGGAAGTATTTAAGACAATTATATTATAAAAGGTGAGACAAAAGGGAGGTAAAGTTTCTACACCTCCTTTGAATTGGTAAAAGAAGAGTAAGTCACATGCCACAGGAGTTCACAAAGTGACCCATGACACCATCTGTTCGAGCCAAGCACAGAAATTGTTTCAAATAATGGCAGATCTCAGTCAACCTAAAAGTCTCTCTGGAGGCCAGCCTGGGCCAGGAGCTGACTTTTGGGTTTTAGGCTGCCCACCAGCAAGTATAAGGATCATCTGCAGATCAGAAAGTCTAGTGCTGCTAAATTAAAAATAAACTTTTAATAGCTCTGGGAGTTCAAATTCCTCATCTTTTAAAAAATTCTAAGATTTCAACATAATAATCTCAAAGGATCCTTCCAGTCTATGATTCTTCTAAAATTACACCATTATCTATCTGTGTCATAGAATACCAACCACTACTTTAAAAATCCACCATGATTTCTTTTTAAAAATTAGTTATATATTGGGCTCTAGAAATCAACATGGTATAATCTGTGCATGTGAGCTGTCGAAATGTGTCTACTAAAACTTGATAATAAGATTGTCCACTGAGAGTTAAACTATGATTTAAATCATAATAGATAAAACATATGCAAAACCTCTTAAAGAGTGGTTTCTAGGCTTCCAGCAAAATAAAATTCTAATGAGACTAAACATAATTATCCTATCTAAAAAAAAATACTTAAGTCAGAAGTTTTTGATAAATAAACACAAAGTTCAATACATATGTATTAAGCACTGGATACCAGGGGGTGCAAAAGTAGTCCCCACTGAACAACCCTCTTTTATATGAAATATTTCAAAATGAAATATGTTGAAAATATTTCAAAATAAATGTTTTAATTACTTAATTTTTTTTCAATTTTTACTATGGAAAAATATACATAAAATTTATCATCTTAATTAATTTTTGAAAGATAATATTTACACATAACTCAAAAGTCTCATAAAAAGTATTCAGTGTCTCTATCCCACTCCTGCCTCTCATCCATATAGTTAGTTGCCTTTTTTGGAGCCCAGTTTCTTGCTTATTTTTTCAGAGATAAAAATTATCTATTATAAGCATTGACATATATATATATACATATATATATATATATATATATGTGTGTGTGTGTGTATGTCTACAGGTATTGTGAACTAAAAATAAAATCCTAAGCCCTCTGCTAACTGAATGGACCCCTCCTGGCCAACAGGATCCCAGAAACCTCTTAAAAGTGAGTTCCCAGCCATGACGGGATGGAAGAGATGAAGCATAATCACATGCATATGATTTCCCTTCATAAATATTCATGACTACTCCTATAGCTTGTTAAGCATATGTATTTGACCACCCCAATCATTATAAAATCCTATTGCCTTTTGTCTCTTCTTTAAAGCATGTATGCTTGGTTTCTGGCCAGGGCTTAGCTTCCCAACCTGCTGCAATGGCTGTCTAGCAGTTGCTACCCTTCATGAGAAATAAAACTCTCCTCTTTCTAAAGTATAAACCTCATTATGTTTTTTGTTGTTTTTGTTGTTAACAGTATATTCTTCGAATCACTCCTCAATGGATTTCAGATTGTTTCCAATTTGTTGACAGATATTTAGGTTCTTTGCAATCTTTTTTTTTTTTTTTTTTTTGAGACAGAGTCTCACTTTGTTGCACAGGCTAGAGTGAGTGCCGTGGCATCAGCCAAGCTCACAGCAACCTCAAACTCCTGGGCTCAAGCAATCCTCCTGGCTCAGCCTCCCAAGTAGCTGGGACTACAGGCATGTACCACCATGCCCGGCTAGTTTTTTCTATATATATTAATTTGCCAATTAATTTCTTTCTATTTATAGTAGAGACGGGGTCTCGCTCTTGCTCAAACTGGTTTTGAACTCCTGACCTCCAGCAATCCGCCCGCCTCGGCCTCCCAGAGTGCTAGGGTTACAGGCGTGAGACACCGCGCCTGAGACACCGCGCCTGCAATCCTTTTACTATTACAATGTTCTATGAATATTTTTATACATATGTCATTTCACACATGGTTAAATCTTTCTGTAGAATAAATTCCTAGAGGTGTAATTTCTGGGTCAAAGAATATGTGGATTTTTATTTTAGATAGATATTGCTAAATTGGTTTCCATGGAAATTAAATTTTCATAACAACAAGCATTATATTTAAGAGTCTGTTTTCCATACCCCTCAAAAAAATCCTTTTGTAAAAATGGCACCTTGGGAAGTCACTTTACCAGAACCATGTTTTGAATCCTTTTGTCATTTAACAGTAAGAATCATTTTGCAAATAAGTTTTGTTAAATGTGAGACATACTATTAGCTGAGAATTCTGAGGCAATTCTGTTGGTAAAATAACGGTTCATGAAATCCCATTATAAATATCAAATTACTTTACTTTGCATTAAATTAAAGTACTTTAATTTGCATTAAATTTCAAGGCAGATTTTAAAAAAACTTCCTGACATTCTGGTTACAAAGTCTATTTGTAGCAGGGATACTGCAACTCTTCATTTAGGTAATCTTGTAACTTGTATTTACAACATGTGGTAATTTTTTCAAGGAGTTCAGGGATCTTGTACTTTTATATCTTATAGTGGAGCAAAAAGTCAAAGGAAAAATGAGTTAAGCAACATAAGAAAAAACCATGAGAAACAGTAACTACCAAACTCATTTGCGAAATGAGAACCCTTTACAAATTTTGTCTTAAAATAATGTTGGGGGAAATAGCTAACAAAAAAGAAGAAAAAGAAGAAAGAAAGAATAAAAAAAGAAGAAAACAGAAGAGGGAAAGGAAAAAGGAAAGGAAGAGAAACAGAAAAGGAAAGGAAGGGCAAGGGAAGAAGGAATAAAAGGAAAAAAGAAAAAAGGAAAAGGAAAAGAAACGAGGGGAGGGAAGGAGAGAGAAAGAAAGAGAAAAAAGAAAAAAAGTCGAAGACTGAACCCGGAAAACAGAAAATGAGACAAAGACAATGTACAGAAGAATGATGTGTGTGTGTGTGTGTGTGTGTGTGTGTGTGTGTGTGTGTGTGTGTGTGTGTCTTAATAATCTTTATTTCCTGGGGTGGTTTACATCTTTAGAAATCAGTTATGAAACTCTCAGCAATTCTGGCCAATGTCAGAAAGCTAAAAGTTATGAAGAAAATACTCTTCCTTTAAGGCACAAGCACTGACCTGTAAAAGTTGTGTTGCAGTAGCTCTCTGCTCAGGATTCTTCACTAAGCACTTCTTAACAAAATCGGTGAAATCATCAGACCAAAGTTCTGGCTTCCTGAATGTTGGTGGTGGATTTGTAGGAATCATAAAAATAGCCTAATAAAAATGAAATATCCAGAAGACACAGTAAGAATCACAACAGCACAACCAAATAAACAAATCTCTTTATCTTTTTGTCAGAGTCTAAATCTGAAAAACAAATTTAAGTTGTTCTAGGATTTCCAGTAAGACTGCAATTCAGGAAGCAAGTCCATCTGCTACTAATGTAATCATTTCCCATTAAATTTCCTCGATTTAAATTGTAGCTTATTGAGCACATCATTCTTTATTTTATCTATTATTTTTTATCAATCCCCAAAGAAGACTATATTCTCGACCCTTTGCCACACTAAGGACTTACCCTAGTTAAACAGATATATTCCCAAACTTTGCTACTGCATGCCAGATTTACTTATTTCAGCTTTATATAAGTACTACTGCTCAGAATTGCTAATAGCAGCAGTCCAATTTGCTTCTGCAAGCCAGAAAATTTAAGTATAAATAAAATTATTGCTGTGATTTGAAATGATGCTTGATATTTCTCTTTTTAAATATATGAGTCAGGATTCCAAATAAGTTTTAAAGGCAATATGCCACTTTAATTTACTGCTAATAATTTAGTGCTAATAATTTAACAGTAATAATGCATTCAGATAGTTCAAAATTCAAAAGTCATAAAAAGTCTCCAATGCATCTCTGTTCTCCTAGCCAGTGTAGTCACCCTTTTTAACCAAAAGAATTAATCTCTAATGTTCTTTGGAAATTACTGTATGTAATGAATTAACTCCTCTCCTGGACATCTGGAATAGTTCCTGGTAAAATACCATCACTACAACATCATTTTCTTTGAAAAGATATGAAAGATATAAGAACAATAAAATTGAAACAAATGTATTAGCACTTGATAAATACAGACTATTATCATTTTTATTTCCACATAAAAAAAGACAAAAGGCAAACAAGCAATTGACAAAGATTTTACAAAGCAAAAGCAAAATGAATTAAGCTATGTCATAACTAACTGTAGTTTAACAAGTAAGTTTACATAATCAACACATAGGTGAGATGATGAAAAAAATGACTTTTTAGTAATCTTAATCAATATATACATATGTACATACATACATACAATAATCAATATATACATATGTACCATATAATTATGGTCATCTCAAATGTATATCCAGGGGTACAGCATCAAAAAATTCCCTTTCTAGGATGCAGAATGCTCTGACTTTCCAGGAAAAAGGCATCTGTCTGTTCTCTCCTTACTTTTTCACCTGTCTTTAGGTGGTCCTCTCTCTTCATGTGCAAATAAATTTATGTACATTAACACATTAACTGCCATAAGAGTTGTATTTAAGTCACTCTAGTTTTGACCCTGGGGCCACGTGAAGCAAATATAAAATGAGTGGTTAATAAAATGTGGCATATATATACCATGGAATACTACTCAGCTTTAAGAAACAATGGTGATATAGCACCTCTTGTATATTCCTGGATACAGCTGGAACCCATTCTACTAAGTGAAGTATCTCAAGAATGGAAAAACAAGCACCGCATGTACTCACCAGCAAATTGGTATTAATGGATCAACACCTAAGTGGACATATAGGAATAACATTTATTGGGTGTCGGGAGGGGGGGGGAGGAGGGGATGGGTATTTACAACCACAATGAGTAAGATGTACAACGTTTCGGGGATGGACAAGCTTGAATCTCTTACTTGAGGGGGGCGGGGGGCATGGGCAATATATGTAACCTTAACACTTGTACCCCCATAATATGCTAAAACAATAATAATAAAAATAAATAAATAAAAATATTACTTGTTAATGTTCTGTTACAATTAATACTGAAAATTTAATTCTAAAATCGTGGATTAAGTGAATAAAAATCAATAAATTTCATTTTTCTATTTATGTTTACCTTTAAATTGCACTCAAAGTTTTCATTCTATTTTCATGATATAACACTGTGGCCCCAAGGAAAAGTTCCTGGTTTTTTTGTGTGGCAGTCAGTGTGTTAATTAATGCCCATTCTCCTCATGCATAAAGAGGATAAAGATGATAATACAATAATAATACTTAGAAATTAAGTTTTTTACCATTGAAAAAGACTAACCAGGTTTACTTTTTAAATTTTAGTTTAAATTTTTAAACTAGCTATGTTTAAATTCTGTTTATATATGAAGAAAACACCAATACTGTAGAAAAAGTAATAAAGATAATATATATTCTGGGGGTATCTATTTCAGTGCATTCCTTACATAAAAGTGTTCTTTTCTCCACTGAATTTTTATTAACTGATTAAAAGCCATTCATATGTATCTTAGAATCACAGAACATCCACAATTAAAAATATGTGACAGATAATTTAGTTTAATCCTTTCAATTTCACAGAAAAGGAATGTAAAGCCCAGAAAGGTTAAGCAAGTTAAAAGCAAAATTTCAGACCTACAAAAGACCCTTTATTTAAAAGATTAGCAAAGTATTCTAATACTTCTAATATGTTTCAAGAAGAAGGTAAAGTACAAAACAAAGAGGATTACTAAACTTAAAATAATACCTAGTAAGAGGATAGAAGAGATAATAAAGGATGATTCTATTTTCAATGTATAGATCTACCAAGTTCTTCCTTTTATTTCCAAGTGGGAAAGAAAGCATACACAAGTTTTAAGCTTTTAAGATAAGCAGTGACAGGAAAGATCTTAAAACCTACAATCACAATTATGACAGTCAATAAAGTGGAAGATCATTCAATCCAACATGCAAGACCATTCAATAGGGAAAAGAAGGTCTTTTCAACAAATGATGTTGGGAATACTGGATATCCACATGCAAAAAAAAAGTAAATGGATGTTTTACTAAAACATATATAAAAATTAACTCAAAATGATCAAAAACCTAATCATAAAAGCTAAAACTATGAACTCCTAGAAGAAAGCATAGGGGGAAAGCTTTATGACATTGAATTTGGCAATGATTTCTTTAGTATAACAAAAGTCCAGGCAATTAAAAAAAAAAGATTAACTAGATTTCATCAAAATTAAAAACCTTTGTGCATCAAAGGACACTATTAACATACTGAAAAGACAACCCACAGAATGAAGAAAAATATTTGCAAATCATATCCGATAGTAGTTAATTCCTAAAATAAAGAACTCCTACAATTTAACAAACACAAACATTACCATTAAAAAATGGACAAAAGGCTTAAACAGACATTTCTCCAAAGAAGATACACATATGCCCAAAACCACACAAAATGAGACTCAATATCGCTAGTTACTAAGGAGATATACATAAAAACCACAAAAAGATACCATTTCAGACCCATTAGAATATCTATTTTGGGAGGGGAAGAAAGAAGAGAAGGAAAGAAGGAAAAGAAACGGAGAAAGAAAGAGAGAGAAAGAAAAAAATAACAAGTGTTGGCAAAGATGTGGAACAATTTGATCCCTTGTGCACTGCTGAAAGAAATGTAAAATGATATAGTCACTGTGAAAATCAATATGGCAATTCCTCAAAAAATTAAACATACAATTACCATATAATCCTCTAATTCTACTTCTGGATATATACCCCAAAAGAATTAAAAGCAGAGACTTGAACAGATATTTATATACACGTTTATATTCATAGCAGCATTATTCACAATAGCCAAAAGAAGAAGCATCCCATATATCCACTGACAGATAAATGGATCAACAAAATGTGGTTTATATATACTGGAACATTTTTCAACCTCAAAAAGGAAGAAAATTTTGACATATGCTACAACATGGATCAACCCTGAAGACATTATTTTGAGTGAAATAAGGCAGTCACAAAAAGACAGATATATAATTCCTCTTACATGAAGACCTAGAGCAATCAAATTCTTAGAGACAGAGAGTAGAATGCTGGTTGCCAGGAGCTGGGGGAAAGGAACAATGAGGATTCAGCTTTAATGGGTAGGTAGTTTAGCTGGAGAAGATGAAAAAGTTCTGGAGATGGACGGTGATGATTATTGCCCAGTAATATGAATGTACTTGATTCCACAGAACTGTACACTTAAAAATGGTTAAAATTGTGAGTTTTATGTTGTGTACATTTTACAATAAAAAATATGAATGAGGGAAAATACAATGTAATAATCAAGTTCAGAAATACTTGTTGAGTGCCTACTATACAGAGCATAGTATTAGGCATTACATGCTGAAAGACATAGCAAGAAACAAAGTTACTATCCTTAAGGAACTTATTACCTACTCTGGTGATGAAAGACCAAACAGGAAAAGATTTAAAAAAATAGTACAATAGCCGGGCGCGGTGGCTCACGCCTGTAATCCTAGCTCTTGGGAGGCCGAGGCGGGCGGATTGCTCAAGGTCAGGAGTTCAAAACCAGCCTGAGCAAGAGCGAGACCCCGTCTCTACTATAAATAGAAAGAAATTAATTGGCCAACTAATATATATACAAAAAAAAAAATTAGCCGGGCATGGTGGCGAATGCCTGTAGTCCCAGCTACTCGGGAGGCTGAGACAGGAGGATTGCTTGAGCCAGGAGTTTGAGGTTGCTATGAGCTAGGCTGACGCCACGGCACTCACTCTAGCCTGGGCAACAAAGCGAGACTCTGTCTCAAAAAAAAAAAAAATAGTACAATAATAGAAGAAATTATATATGGCATAAATAAGAGAGATCACTCCCATTAGAAGAAATAACATAAGGAAAAGAAGAGAGGGGAGTAAGGCTGTGAAGAGCAGCAGAAAGCAAGAGGATTTGTTATGTAAGTGATTAGGGAAAGGTAAGATTAGAAAGAATGGAGGACATGGAGTTCCACCATACATCCTTTGGTCAGCAAGAAGATATACAACTGAAAGAAGTTTTTTTCTGGGGTGTGTTTAGTTTTGTTTTTAATCAAGAGTATGTTTATGACCCAAGAAGTAGATTTAAAAACAAACGAAACCTAGAGGCACTCAAAATATGAAATACAAAAGTCAGTTAGGGGCTAGTGTAGATATCCCAACATGAGTAACAAAATAGTACAAACTAGGATGGTATCTACCAAAATGAAA